CACTAGAAAGAGCCACTCAAAATGGAACAATGCTTACACAATGTTCAATTTAAACATGCAAGACACTAATGCAATACATATATACTCAAATTCTGTTACACTATACATATAATAAATTCTTTTATAAATGGTAATTATGCCAACGAAAAGCTAAACTCATACCAAGGATGTATTTTATATCTCCTTTTAAAAATGAGTTATACTACTTACAACTTATATTACTTTATAAAAAAAATGTTGTATCATTTGAGGATATACATACTATTGAAGGTGTTATTTTCTCCTTTTTTTACTAAACAACTGTGGCAATGGGACTTTTAACAGATGATTCAAAATGGCAACATTGCATACAAGAAGCTTCTACTTTTAAAATATTATCCCAATTAAAATAGTTATTTATTTTTATTTATTTTTATTATTCACCAAAAGATTCAAATCTATTATGGGATCAATTTAAAATTGACATGTCTGAGGATTATGCTAAAAATGATATTGATATTTACTTGATATTAACTCAAAATTCCAACTACACAATAAATCTAATTGTGATTTTGGTTTACAACTCCCAGCTCTTGCTCCTATTATTGGACACACACTTAATGCACAGATCCCTAATCCATCACAAGACCAAATCAATGCAAACATAAATCAATTTAGTGACAAATAATGCTATATTTCTAAGCTCATTATAAATGCCATTAACAGCATCAATATTACTTTATTGATGGACCTAGTGGTACAGGGAAAAATTTTCTACTTAATACCATCATTACAGCATTACAATTACAAAAAATAAAAGTAATCAATATGGCATGGACTAGGATTGCAAGCATTTTGCTAAAATATGGTTAAATGGCACATAAAACTTTTAAACTTTCTATTCCTTTAAATAAAACTTTTATCTCTGCTTTAATAATTAATATTGTTGCTGGAAAAACAATTAAAAAATCAAATGTTCAAATATAGGATGACATTAGTATATATGCTTTCTCAGTAGTTGATAAATGTTTAAAGCATCTTAAATTTAATTCTAAACCATTTGGAGGTGTTACAGTGATTACAAGTAGTGACTTTCATCAAACCCTTCATGGTTATTCCGCATGGCTATAGAACTTTTATTATTTCACGCTCAATTAGAATGAATAGACTATAATCACTCTTTACAACACTAACACTAATAAAGAACATGCATTCAAGCAATCTTTCTTTTTTTGAATGGCTTCTCAAAGTTGGCAATGGTGATAGTAATTTGCAGTTGCCATGTTTCCCACTAGATATTACCAAAATACCATATGCACTATCTATCTCTACACCTGTTATAAACTTTGTTTTCCCAAATACTAATGACATTATAAATACTTACACAGCTACATCAAAGGTCATTCTCACCCCACTCAATGATAACACATTCAGAATAAATAATGACATTGTTGGAAGACTACTAGGTGATCTATATATTTACTTGAACATTGACACAATTGATTTAAATCACTCTGAAGAGTTCTTAATTGAATTCTTAAATTCAATCACCTCATCAGGACTACCACCACACAAATTAGTTCTGAAACAGAATGTGATTTTGATTCTTCTTAGGAACATATCTCCATAAATTGGTTTATGCAATTGCACTTACCTCATTCTCAAGCAAACATCTTAAAATGTTTAGATTATGAAATTATCATGGGACAATTCAAGGGATTGTGAGTTTTTATTCCATGTATTACTCTTACACCTTTTGATGTTGAAATCCTTTTTAAGATGTTCTAAAGACAATTCACAATTCATTTGGGTTATTGCTTAACCATTTCTAAAGCCCAAGGCCAAACTTTCAACCATGTTGGCATTTATCTCCCCCAACTTGTTTTCACACATGGTCAACTTTATATGGCTCTCTCAAGGTGTAAATCACCTAAACAACTTTGTGTTCAAGTGCTTGCAACCCCCATTCAAAGCAATCTTATGCCACACGATCAACACTTTTACACTGTAAATACAGTCTATGTTGAAATTCTTAAGTAGACTGACAAGTATATGGCACAAATCCAAATTCAACTATGATTCCACAAAACTATTTACTCAGCCACCCTTGACTTGCAGTTGCAAGTTTCAAGTGCACACCACAAAAAAGCTAGCACTGAGTGGTATGCATTGGATGGTGTGCCATTTTGGTTATGGTAATGTGCTATTGAAGTGCTAATGGCAGAGGTACAGTTTTCAATCTTTCTCCACAGCTTGTCTTCTCTTGCCCATCTTTTGTCACTTATAGTGAAAGTAAAGAAAGGTAAAAGAAAAAAATATTCTTTAACTTAGTTAAAAAATTTAGTAACAAATGCAAATGCTTGGCAAATGTGTTTGTAAATGCTAAATTTTTAAATAAACACATTTTTCAGTAACTATGTTTACTAGGACTATGCTTCACCTGCTATCACGAACTTTAAGAGCAAGACAAACATCGAACAGCACACCACATCTAAATGTGGCCAAAGTGGAAGCTGCCCAAGCTTCCCTCACATGGAGCTCTCACCATCTATGTGCAATTTGAGTGGATCAAGTTGCATATGGAGGTGCAGAGCATCCAAGGCCTAAAAATGTCCAAGCTCAACAAGCTCATTGTTTAACCCAGGGTTCTTTTTGTAGGTTGAGGCTGCAACTTTTGCCTCAAGTAACAGTGACAGTCATCTTTCTCTTGCTGATTTACAGGACTTGCATACAGCTATGGCCAAGCAGGCTGTGGAGCTTATCAGGATGGTTGTTTGTGGGGCAGCACTTCATCATGACGCTGCTTTTAACATTTAAATTTTTTTAAGGTTTCTCCTTTATCTCTACTATTTCAGGCAAATTTTCATGGGAAGGATGCTGTGTGGAATCAAATCTGAGGTTGTGCACTCTAGGAGCAATATGAGATCCAACTTTCTTATAAATTTTTTCTCATAGCAAGGATTAATTTTAAGGAACTTCAATATCTATTTCTATCAGTTTTCTTTTTCACTAGGCTTCAATTGGTAGCTTTCTTGTAGATCACCATCCTTTACCTCCCTACACTAGGCAGACATTGCTGCACTAGTCACATACATGGTCTTATGACTTTGTGGAATATATATTTATATACTATAAGTTTATATACAATTACAGCAAAATAAACTGTAGTAAAATAAAAATTACACTAACTAATAGAATGCCATTGATTAAATAAAAACTTCTCTCAATCATTATTCTAGTGATTTATAACAATATATTTATATTTTAAGGATTTTCTATAAATTTTTCTTAGTAAAAATAGGTATTATATGGTATAACAGTATTATTTAAATTTTTGGACTAAAATAATTATAAATATTTAGTTTGATATAGTTAACTCAATATTATTACAAAACATTAAATAGAATTTTATTTAGTTTCTGTTTTATTTCTTAAGATTTGTTCTAATTTGGTACAATATACGTGTGAGAATTTCATCTATAAAATAAAGTGATTTTTATTTTGCATTAAAAATTATAAATAAATAACATAAATTATAGTAATATAAATAACAAGTCCTGATAATATAAGCCTAAGTTAAATATCAATAATTGTTTTTATATACAATTTATTGAATTTGAAGACCATGAAGCAGTTATAGAGTCATACTTTGAAACAGGTAAAACATAAAGTACGATATTACAATCGTTTTGAATTGATAAAAATGATGGTACTATACATCCTTCCACTCCACAATATGTATTAGTATGCCAAATACTTTGTACTTCATTATAGATTACCAAATTTCCATCTGATTGTAATATAACTTTACAAAGTAACCCTTTACCATTTGTTCTTGATGACCATTTTGCAATATTACCATAATAAAGTACTAAATTACAATCATTTTGCATTATAAGCTTATAAAGGGTATTTGGTGAATATAAAGAATCTTTTGATAAAAGAGTGTTATGTGGAAACCAGCTAAATAAAGTAGTTTGACTTATTGAATCACAATATATATCTTCTCCATTTATGTTATTATTTGAGGTTTTTATTATATAGTTTTTAAGATTTTTTAATTCATCTCTTCTGTTTTGAACTGTATACTCTAATGAGTAACCAACCGAACTTGATTTGAAATAGCCTGCACAAGCTGTTAGTAATACACTCATAGAATTCGCCAAAAGTCTTTGAAAACCAAGTCTTGCAGATCCTCCAGATACAGTATTTAAAACTACGGGATTTCCTCCACATAAATTTCCTTGATTATGATTGTGAATATGAAAAACAACCAAAACTCTTTGATTATTTGAAATAGGAAAGATAGCACTGCATGGGAGACCACGTGAGTATCTTTCTGATAAAGCAAATGCTACTGGAATAATTTCTTGAATCCTAGATATTATGAATTGAGCAGTGACAATTGTTAATGTTGATTCATCACTAGCTTCATATCCAACAATGCTTAAACAAAATTCAAGATATAATGCAAAAAATAATAAGTATATCCAAATTTTCATTTCTTGATTGCAATTTTAGAATTTATCTCTACTTCTCTAGCTTTTCATATAGTTTATAAAGTCAACCAATCATTATTTTTACAGTTGGATAGATAGAGATTTAATAGTCTAATATCAGTATTTATTGAGATAAATCATTATAATGTTTGACTTTTGATATCATAATTTTAAATGTACTTTATAAACGATTTTTTAAAACTTGTGATACTTGGTAGTACGTGTCACGCCTAGCTCAGTCAATAGATGAGTTGACTTAAATTGTATATAAAGCTTCGTAAAATGCAGTAGAAATCTCTCCCGCCTAAAGTTGTTTTTGGTGCTAAACAACACTGCTTTGCGCATAAAGTAAATTATAATAGACTAAAGTTGTTCAGGTAGTTATCCAACTTTTTACTATGTCACATTCTCGTACATAAAATCGCAGCAAAGAGGCTTTCATCAACCACGTCAAAGGAAAAAAAAAAACTCTATGCTGTCGTCCAGGTCAGCGCTACGCTAGCCCTAGATGCTGCCGCGTGTATGCGCTGTGTCGCTCTCGAGGAGCAAGAGAATGCGATCGCGCGCGTTGTTCTTCACTGCCGGAGCTCCGGAGGTGAGCCAACGCTCGCGCGTCTCTCCGATGGTCCTCGCCACCGGTGGAGCTGCTACCTGGGCAATCAGGCCTATGGCCGGTTTGGCCGCCCCGATCGATCCTGGGGCGCGTTTGCGGCCATGGAGCAGCGCAATCTCTTCTCCTGGACGATTGCAATGGCGGCGCTGTCCCAGAGTGGGGAGATCCATTGCGCCAAGGCGGTGTTTGATCTCATGCCAATGAGGGATCTCTACGCCTGGAACGTGATGCTCTCTGCAATCCACGAGAACGATTCGCTGGATGCCCTGGTGGATGCTTTCACGAGAATGCCGGAGAGGGATCCAGTCTCGTGGAACGTAATGGTTACAGCATTTGCCCAGAACGGGCAAATGCTCCAAGCCATGGACTTGTTCTTGCGGATGCCTCGCAGGAATGTGATCTCCTGGACAACTATGATTGGAGCTTTGAGCGATTGCGAGGCCGGACGCCACGATCTAAAACTCGATGCAATCGCGTTCTTCGATCGAATGCCGCAGAGGAACATTGTGTCGTGGACAGCCATGGTCCATGCCAGTGCCTCGGCGGATCGGCTGGAAGAGGCGAGAATTCTCTTCGATTCAATGCCTGCGCGCAATCTCGTCTCTTGGAACGTCTTTCTGGCTGGATCGAAGGACCTCTCGATCGAGACGCTCGAGAAGATCCCGGCCAAGGACTCTGTGACGCTCAAGACGATCATGAATTGGTACTGCCAGACTGGAAGAACCGCCGACGCTAAAGCCCTCTTCGATCGATTGCCCGAGAGGGATGTCATGTCATGGACGTGTATGATCCAAGTAAATTCTTGTCAGCTCGATCGAGCCAAGTTTGCCTTCGATCTAATGCCGGCATGGAGCGTGGTCTCCATGAATTCCATGGGGGCGGTGTTTGTGACCCATGGAGAACTTGCCAAAGCAAAAAAGCACTTTGATCTTGGACAGGAGAGGAACGTCGTGAGCTGGACCGCGATGATCCAAGCGTTCGATCGAGCCGGAGAGGTGGAAGCAGCGCAGAGAGCTTTCGATCTAATGCCCTCCTGGGACGAGATCTGCTGGCTGGCGATCCTGGCCGCGAATTCCTCGGATCCGGAAGCGGTCCAGCGCCTGTTCTTCCGTGCGCCGGCTAGATCCGTCCTGGCATGGAACGCTCTCCTCTCAGCCATCGCGCACAGCGGAGGAGCATCGATCGAGGAAACAAAGAGGCTCTTCGATCTGATGCCGGAGCACGATGCCGGATCGTGGAATGTCTTGATCGCGATCGAGGCAGAGGAGATCGGATCCAGCAAAGTCTTCTTCGACTCTTCTCCGGAGAGGAACGCTCTCTCCTGGGAAGCGCTCTTGCAAGGTACGGCAAAGTACGGGGACCTCTACGGCACAATGTCCGTACTGGAAAAGATGCCGGCGTGGAGCCTCCTCTCGTGGAATCTAGCCCTTGCAGCAAATGCCCGCTCTGGGCATGTGGCAAGCTTACGAAGAACATTCTCTACAATGCCGGAACGAGACACGGTATCTTTTGGCACCGCGCTCGCGGCATTTGCCCACAGTGGGCACGGCACAGACGGCATCCTCCTCTTCCACGTCATGCTCCTCGAGGGCGTGGCGCCCAGTGATATTTGCTTCGTCCACCTCTTGGTAGCCTGCAACCACGTCGGCCTCCTTCACGAGGGATTGTGTGTGTTCTCGGGCATGGCCGGCGATCACGGGGTGGCACCCGGGCTCGAGCACTTTTGCTGCGTGGTGGACATCCTGGGAAAGGTCGGGAGGCTGGAATATGCCCGCTGGCTTCTGGAGAATATGCCGTTCGTACCCGATGACGTGGCGTTGGGGAGCTTGTACGGCGCGTGTGTTGTTCACGGTGACGTGGAGGGCGCCAGGGCAGCACTCGCCGCGATGACGTGGGACTCCAACTAAGCAGTGACGTGGAGGCCGGCATTCAACGCGGTCAGCTTTGACTCTAATCAAATCGAAGAGATCATGTTGTGATGTTTCCCATGACACCGCCGCTACGCACTTGATTTAAATTTCTTTCTCTTGATAGCCTACAATCCTTTCACGTGTAGGATTTTTTCCATGTATTTCATTTGATACCCCGGCGCGCGGCGATGGATGGATCACACAAGTCAATCAGTGGGCAATAGAAAATCCCGGGCATGTTAGCGTTAGCTGTTGCTTTGGCTTGTTCCATCCCCACGTGGGATATTCCCTCCCGGCCATCTCCCGCCGTTGGATGGGATCCCGCCACCGTTGGATCTAGGGCTCTTGGTGGTGCACGGTCTTTGAGAATGGAGGGGCAAACCACGCGTATTCATTCTCTCATTCATTCGTCGCAGAGGAAAGATGGGAAAACGGAACGATTGCCGGCTCGAATCCTGTGAAAATTCCCCACTTTTTTGCCTGGCTTTCCCTTTTTTTGCTTTTTTTTTCTATCGCTCTGTTCTTCGCTACTCACGACACGGATCGCGACCCCTAAATTCAGTTGAGTCAGAGAGGCGAAAGAGGTGCTCCATCAATGTGGGCTTCCGTGCTTCCAATCCAAAAATCGCCTCCATTTCCTCTTCCAATTTTCCAATTCCAATCTCTCTCTCGTTTTCGCGTACTTTGGAGCGATGATTGATGGGGCACAGCGAGCAGAGGAGTCCCTGTCGGAGATTGATTGAGAGGTTTGACTGATTCGGGAGGGAAGATTTGGAAAGATTCCCATTCCTTCCACGAATCGATCGAGAATGGGTGCTTTGGGGGTGGGAGGAGCGATGCATTCGATCTTCTCCAGCTGCTCCGGGAGTGTTTGCGTGACCGTGGACGATCGCCAGGAGCGCGCGCTATCGAATCGCCATCAGTCTAGGAGCAGTGGCGTGGGATGTTCTTCGTCGCGATCGGGCAATGTGGTTCTCGTGGCGATGGATGCGCTGAGCGGCGATGGCGGCGCCGTCGTGCTCCAGGAGCACGCGCTGCGATGGGCGGCGAGGAATGTGGTTCGATCGGGCGATTGTCTCTGCGTCGTGGCTATCTATCGCCGGGATCAGGGATTTGGGCGCAAGCTCTGGCATTGCGATGATTCTCGCAGTGGCGACGAGGAATTCGTGGGCTGCCGCAATCGCCCTCGCCCTCCTCGCCATCGCGATCCGAGGGAGCAAAGGATCAAGGATTCGTGCACGCTTCTGGCTAGCAAGCTCTGTGACACCTCCAAGGTGAATCCAATCGAGCTATTGATCTATCCATTCTCCAATCCATTCTAACCAGCGCTTGTTTTGCTCGCTGTTCCAGATCAATCTCAAGGTGAAGACGACCCCATGGTGGAGAGGGATTGTGGTCGAAGAGGCCAACAAGCTCCAAGCTTCGTGGGTTGTTCTTGAGAGGTGCGTATATTCTGTGACCGTTTTGGCATATTCTGTGAGAAGAATATGCTTGTTTTAAAACCTTGGGATTTGAAGAACCCTAGCTCTTCCAGGTCTTTGCGAAAGGAGGGCAAGTGGTGCGCCCGCGGCTGCCGATCCAACGTCGTCGTGGTCAGCCAGGTCGGTTTCCGGGTGCTGTGCCTGAATCTCAAGAATGCCGCGGCGGCGATCGCTTCCTCGTCGTCGTCCTCGATGCTCGGATTGCCGTCGTCGAAGAAGCGAGTGATATTCTCGACTGGCGATGGCGCGGCTGCCGCGGATTTCGAGGAAGAGGCGAGCAGTAGCCCAGAGATCGAGACGCCGTTCAGCGTGACCGAGCGCGGAAGCAGCAGCTCATCGTCGACGTCGAGCTCAGAGCACGATCGTGCTGTCGGATTCTCTTGCACTGGCGGGGCCAAGAAGAAGATCTCTACTGCTGCCGCAACCGATAGCGTGATTTCATCCGACACCAAGAAAAATTGCCTAGGTGAGTCTTCGCTATTTCTTCGTGATTTATAGCGATCAAGAACTTTCCATATGTTTTAGACGAGCGGTTGTTCTCCCAGACGAGATCCATACTCTCCGACGCTGAGAACTACATCAAATGCAGGCCCGGGCTTGACAGCGCCACAACTCCAGACATTTCAGAGCGCTTCTCCGCGTTACAAGTCGAGAGCTATGGGAAGAGTCCCAGGAAGAACGCCAGGCACGTCTCCCAGCGATCGTCCGAGGGCTTGCTTCCAATCGAGGAAGTGGAGGCTCCGTCGGTGTCAAACCAGCACCGCAACCAACAACCAGACGATCATCGTCTACTGGACAGAACTTCGAGCGTTCGAAAGGCGGTCGCTTTACCACTGAAACGCTCGCTAGCCGGTTCGCCGCCTTTGTGTTCTATCTGCCAACATGCCTCTCCAGTCTTCGGCAGGCCTCCTCGTCGATTCAGCTACAGCGAGCTCGAGTTCGCTACCGGCGGATTTTGCAATGCAAACTTTCTCGCGGAGGGTGGCTATGGCTCGGTCCACAGGGGTGTTCTTGGGGACGGGATTCCCGTGGCTGTGAAGCAGTACAAACTGGCTAGCTCGCAAGGTGACTTGGAGTTTTGCTCCGAGGTGGAAGTCCTGAGCTGCGCGCAGCACCGAAACGTGGTGATGCTGATCGGATACTGCATCGAAAGAAAGCGAAGGTTGCTTGTCTACGAGTTTATCTGCAATGGCTCGCTCGATTCTCATATCTATGGTATGTTCTTTTTTATGTGGTCGCTGTTTCGTGAGCTTGATGTTTTTTGCTTTTGTGGATTGCTTAGGTGTGACCAAGCCCCCGCTGAAATGGTCATCGAGGCACAAGATAGCCGTTGGAGCTGCTCGGGGATTGCGTTACTTGCACGAAGAATGCCGTGTTGGTTGCATCGTCCACAGGGACATGCGTCCAAACAATATTCTTCTGACACACGACTTTGAGCCCATGGTTAGCGCTTTGTCTACGTTTGCGTGTCTGCCGTCGTGCGTTACGTTTATCTGATACGTGAGATTAAACAGGTCGGCGACTTTGGACTCGCGAGGTGGCAGCCAGACGGTGATCTGGGCGTAGAAACGCGAGTAATTGGCACGTTTGGGTACGTAGACCACATTGTTTTAAAAACTCTCCTCGTGTTCATGGCAGCGAGAATGGTGTTGCAGTTACTTGGCCCCAGAGTACGCGCAAACGGGCCACATAACGGAAAAAGCTGATGTATTCTCGTTTGGCGTTGTTCTTTTGGAGCTTGTCACCGGCCGCAAAGCCATTGATATCTCACGACCAAGAGGACAGCAATGTCTCACAGAGTGGGTAAGCTAAGATTGGTTTTAGTTGGCAGCTCTTTAATCTGTCGATACAGGCACGTCCATTGCTAGAAGAACAGGCTCATCACGAGCTCATCGATCCGGCGCTAGTGAACGAGCTTAACCAGTACGAGGCTTACTGCACGTTGTTTGCGGCCTCCTTGTGTATCCAACGCGACGCACACTTGAGACCTCGCATGTCACAGGTAAGTAAAGTCTTCTTCGAGGAAAACTGATCTTCTCTCGCAAATGCACAGGTGCTACGAATGCTCGAAGGCGATCTAAATCTCAGCCGAAACTCGTCCCCGATGCGATCACGCCTGACTTACTCCCCGCACTCCTCGTCCAAGAACAGCGTGAGATCGATGAGCCCCGCGAAAAGTAGGCTCTTCCCGGGAGCTCTAGACAGCGTTGTCAACAGCTTCATGTCCGCCCACCCCATCGTCGTTTGCAACACAAAGCTCTCCCACGAAGCTCTCAAGGCCGCGTACAAAGACAAGCTCGACTCGCAGAGGCCATCGCTCGAAGAGTAGAAATCTCTTCGCTCAAATCCCTGCCAACTTCAGTCACAAAAACAAAGAGAGAAGATGAAGAGAAGAAAAACAAAAAATTCTTACTAACAATGTAGCTGCCGTACGTAGCCTTTCCCATGTACAAATGGTCGAGAAAAATCATCGCCTAATAGAAGAAGAAACCCTGTGTTGTCCCTCCCTTGTTCCCTCTTTATAAAAATTTCTATCTCCCACCACTACCTGTGACCCTGTCCCGGTATCGTGAAAGAACTAGTGTCGCCATAGTTGGATTCCTCGTGATGCATCCACAAGCCGGCTCTCATCTCCTCCTCACACTTTAAGATCTGCTGTACATACTCGAGCGCCCCCGACACTGCCTGCTGCTCCTGCGCGTTTAGCTGCAGCGTGTAAACTCTCCTCCCATCCAGGAACCTCTTGTACTTGTGAACCACGTACATGTAGGCCTGCTGGACCTGGCTCGAGTGCGACGATCCAACCGGGCTGTAGTCCGAGAACCACTCGCAGGTGGTGAGAGGGATCCCTTTGGTCACCTTCTCCTCAAACCTGTCGTACTTGTTGAGGAGCAGCACCAGCGGGGTGTCTTGGAAGCACGGGTAGCCCACGATCTTGAAGAAGAGGTCCCGGCTGAAGATGAGCTTGTTGTGCAACGCTCCCGTTAAATCTGTCCACTGCTGGTCGTAATCGCTGACGGCTACGCAGTAGACCAAAATCTTTACGTCCTCGAACATGTCGAGCCATTTCCTAAACTCGTTTGTAGCTAAGCCCCCGATGCTAATCAGCTGGTACCTGTGAACCAGAAGAAAAAAAAAAAGAAGACCAAGTAAGAATCCAAGAAGTCTCGAGTCTAAGCGTGTGGACCTGCGACGGTTAGATTCGTGGTCGTTGCTATCGGACAAGTCTTTGTCCTCGAGAGAAAATTGTACCTCTGCAAGACCGGTTCCTTGCTCAAGTCCCTCGGCAGATAAGATATCCGTGACCGATGGGACGTAATCCTGTATTTGTAACACCTGAAGCAGTCAAGACACACTTTGTAAGACGAAGGCAAAATGCACAGGGCACTTACTCTATTCAAAATATCGGCAGTCACTTCAGGAAGCTGTAGTTCATCCTTTCGACTGTATGTTTGTTGTATCGCAGGGTCGTTCCAAATCTTAGAAAGATTAGAGCGCGTGTTTTTTGAGATGCTCCGTTCCAGATGACCCGCAGTCATGCTCGTCATGAACCTGTCAGCCGCATCCTTGAGCTGGTCATTCAAGGTATAAAGGTCTCCTGCAGAGGAAGTCAGTCAGATATGACGTTATGAAAGACTATGTGTCAAACCTGACTCTTCTTCGAATCTTTCTCGTGCTTCAAGCAGAACATTGAGAAACTGGTATGCCTTTCCCAGCATCATTTCCTTGTACTTTTGCAACTCCTCCGGCGAAAATTGCCCATTGTGAAGAATTTTCGTCTGATATTGCACTAGCGTCAGTAACACTTTTTGTGTAAAAAAGAAGGGAACATACCTGCTTGAAGATGGTACTCCTGCCCGACCCATCGTGCCCCAGTAGAAGAATTTTTGATGCGTCTTTAACTTCAATAGAAGTTGGAGAAACTTTTCTAGAGGCCGCCACTGCATCCGTCTTCACTAGTTGGTTGCTTGACCGTGGAGTTGGGAAAGAAAAAAATGGGTACAAAAGCCTCATCATGGGCTGCAAAGCGCACGAGATAGAGTTAGTGATCTTTAAAGCATAACAAACATTATGTTTCTCACTTTGTTCCACAGGTTACCCTTGATCTCCTTCTGACCTTCGTCTCCATATCTACCATCAGGATACAAAACAAGGTACGTTTGAGGAGTGCATTGAACGCCAAGAGCCTGTTCAGAAAAGATAAAAGTAAATCAAGTTCTGGACTCTACAAACTGTACTCACGTACTTTGAGCATTTTAAACTCCGATTTCGTGATCTCCCGACAGTTTAGGAACACTTGCGTCGTTCCATTGCTGGCATTTTGCTGCAGAGGTCCTCCTACTTTCAACTCAGGGGTGATAAACATGTGTGGTTTTTCTCCTTCCTGAAACAACAAATCAGTCCCAAAACATAAAGACGACTTCGAAACACATACCCTGCCCCAGAGTCCCGAGGCCTTGTCATACCAGTATTTCCCGGGCTTCAGTCGCAAACATTCTTGTTGTAACAAAATCAGCTCTTCAAAAATCAGCCTTCTTCCGTTCACAATCACTTGCTCTGGCTGCAGCTGGTTTGAAAAGCACTCCCTTTCCGACTTCATGCACTGTTGGATCTCCAAGGGACCCAGCAGCCTCTTCAACAGTCTCGAAGGCTTTCCCAAAAACGGACGGCGATCCTCCAAAACGGGGCGTCCAACACATTCTTCACACTTCCTCCCTTCTGGCATGGATCCCATCACTACCAGCACGCAGTTGGAGCAAAACTTCGAGCCGCAAGCCAAACACACCTCCTTCTCCGTCAGCCTGTTACCTCTCAGACAGCGGTAGCACTGTCCCCGTTTCCTGTGAATGTTTCCGCCTTTCCCAGACGGAGAGGGATCCAATCCATACCGCCGACTATCAAAGTTTCCACTGGGATCTTCCGACTCTCCCGGGGAGAACTCTTCCGAATACTGCAGCGCCGAAGAGTCCGTGACAATGCCCTCCGACGATGGTGTTCTCCCGAAAAGCTGTGGTGAAGGCGACGTAGCCAGCTCCTCAATCTCCGACGGACAGGACTTTCGAGTGGCGGCGGCAGCACTGCTGGCAGCATCCCGCTCGACAGTAGCAGCGGCAACAGCCATCGCCGAGGATGACTCCGAGAACGAGGAGCCCGACGTCGATCGAAAGAACTGGCGAGCAGCGGGGACCGAAGAAGCAGCAACGCTCCCAGAGCCTCTCCACAGCTGAGCCACCGGAAGAATGGTGGCGAGTTTTGGAGGCGTGGTCTTGTTAGTCCCCCAAGAAGGAGCCATGGGAGCCTTTGGGAGTGGAAACTCTACCGGAGGCCCGTTGTAAGGGGTGGCGAACGAATACTCGATGTTGTCCAAGTCTATGGCTGCTCCTGGAGGAAACAAACCTCTGAGAAGATCGTGCTTGGCCGACCCATTGCCATTGGGCAACGCCGAGGAGGCCATGGTGAAGCTCTCCTCCTCCAAAGCCTCGGCCTTTTGGCGCTGGCTAGTCGTAGAAGAATTCTTTCTCGTCATGGAAATCCCCTACACAAAGCAAGCAATGATCAAGCACAAGAAGAGAGAGCGAAAGAACGAATAAAAACAAACGAGGTAGACGAAGAAAAAATTCCACTGACCAAGTCTCTTGCTCGGCCGATCTCGCATTTCGCTCGATTCCAGCGATTCCCGCTAGCTCCGAAACGATCCTCCTCCCGCGCGCTACATCCTCCGCGGATTGCTAAACCCTAAGCCGCGCATCGCTGCTCTGTCTGCCCCAGAGATTCGCGAGGAGCTCACCTTGCTCGCGCAGCTGGGGCGACGATCGAGGGAGCTCACGGGGGGCGATCGACAGACACCAGCTGTGACGACGCGGGCGCTCAAAATCTCCGCGCTAATGTTCTTCGACCTATTCCTACCACACACCGCCGTACACGGAATTTGGCCAGGGCCTTCCGTACGCACACGTCAGCAGAATGCGTCAGCCAGTTTTGTGTGTGTGTGTGTGAGGTATTCCATATTCGCTGGACTACTCGTGCGCGGTAAGAAAAAAAAATCCATCTCTTCTCTTTTTCGCCAGTTCCAATGACGCAATGTGCTTGATCACGAATTTTTATGATGTCTCTAGTAGAAAAATCGTGATTTTCACTTGGAGGACTTTTACCGTTGTGACGAATCGTAAAAGCTCTGTTCCAATCCAAGCCGTGAGAAAAGAAACGATGCTTACCTCCAAGCTCCAAAATCACCAAAAGTCTCCGCAAGAACACACTCCATCCCTGAAAACATGGAATCGACTCGCGTCTCGGCAAACCACGACTCGCTGCTCGATCCGGGAGATGATCGAGGTGGCTCTGTGGCAGTCGTCGCAAGCGCGGAGATTCTTGGCGATGTGTATGCTCGTCCCCGGCTTCGTGTTCACCAAAGCACACCCAATGGCCAGCTTCTCGCTATGGCCGCACAGAGCATTCTCTTTCTCCTCGTCTGCGATGTCAAACAGAACACCGTCCCAGTCAGGCACGTATCCGGCTTGTTTCAAGCTTACCATCACTTCCTTGAGCTTGGCGAGTATCTGGGAGCTCTGGGGATGGCTCGTGTCCCCGGCGCAAAACCTGTGAACCCTTCCGGATTCGTCAATCCACCAGCTTTGTCCCGGCTTCTTGAATGCCCGAGCTTTGTTCCTCATCGTCCGGATGCTCAAGCTCTCCTCAAACATCCCGGCGGCGGCGTAGATGGTGGCCATCACCGAGTACGCTGCAGCATCCCTCTCGTCAGCTCTTACAATGGAATCGAAAGCAAGCCTACCGGTTTCCACGTTTCTCCATTTCCTGCTCGCCGCCAAGATGGCTCTCCAGATCGTTAAGTTGGGCTGGAAAGGCATGGTTTTGATCATCGCCATCGCCTCGTCGAGATAGTTTCCTCGGGCTAGAGTGTCTACCAGGCAGCTGTAGTGTTCGATCGTCGCAGCAATCCCGTGATCCGAGATCATTGTATCGAAAACCTCCTTGCCTTTCTCGACTAGCCCGGCGTGGCTGCAAGCTGTGAGAATGCAGAGAAACGTGATCCTGTTTGGCTGGAGACGTTCTTCTTGCATCCTCTGGAAGAGATAGATTGCCTGCTTCGCATGTCCATGGTGACTATATCCTGCGATCAGCGAGTTCCATGTTACAAGTCCCCTCGTCGTCAAAGAATCAAATACCTCTTGAGCTTCTTGCATATCCGCGCACTTGCCGTAGAAACTAATCAAAGAGCTCGCCACGGCCTCGTCGTGCTCCAGTCCAGCACTCCGGATGTGAGAGTGGATTGACTTCCCAGTCTGCAAGTCTGCCAAAGATCCGCAGGCTTTGAGCGCAGAAACAAAAGTTTGAGAAACGGGCACGATACCTTCGTCGCGCATTCGAGCGTAGAATCGCAAAGCCACCTCCGCTTCACCGGACTGGGAGTAGCCCCGGATCATGGCGTTCCACAGCAGAAGATCGCGAGGCCGGGTCCTCTCAAAAACCTCTCGTGCCTCGGCCATGCTTCCACACTTGGAGTACATATCCACGAGAGTGCTCGCAACCAAGCTGTGTGCTTCGTGTCCCTGCTTCACGAGCTGGAAGTGCAAACCCGCGGCTTTCTCCAAGCACACCTTCTTGTCGAGTTGGTCTCTCGAGAGATCTTCCCTGGTGGCGATGCTTATACAGGCCTCGAGAGCACCGACGTAAGTTAGAGCGTTTGGCACGCATCCTTCCTCTTGCATGCGTGAGAAGAGCTCGAGAGCCAAGTCTCCCTCTCCACTTTGAGCGTGTCCCATGATCAAAGCAGTCCAGGAGACAACGTCGTGGCGAGGCATCCGGTCGAAGATCCAGCGCGCCTCTATTATGCTCCCACACTTGACATACATATCCACGAGAGCGCTCTCGAGATATATATCCCAAGTCTCTCCAGCGTTCTTGAGCTGGGAGTGTACCGCATTTCCTTTCTCCAACGCCGAGACCTTGACAAGCTTCCCCTCGATCTTAGTCCCCTCTTCTCGAATCGCCAGTGCCGTGCAAGCAGCAAGCGCGGCGGTGAAAGTTCTCACGTTTGGAACGAAGCCTCTGTCTTGCATGTGGGAGAAGAGCTCGAGAGCCGTCTCGCCATCGCCACTGTCGACGTATCCCAGGATCAAAGAGTTCCACAAAACCACGTCGTGATGGACCATGGCATCAAACACCACCTTTGCGCTCTCCATGTCCCCACACTTGGAGTACATATCCACAAGGCTGCTCGCGACGAAGAGGTTTGATCCAAGACCGCTGCTCGCAGCCTGGGAGTGAAGAGCCTTTCCCCGATCTAAGCAATCCATAGCTCCTTCCACCGCGAGAGCGGCACAAGCCTTCAAGGCCGCGACGTAAGTAGCGGCATTTGGCTTGAATCCCCGGCACTTCATCACGGAGAAGAGATCCAGTGCGACCTCTCCCTGGCCGCGCTGTGCATACCCTTTGATGATCGCGTTCCATGACACGACGCTGTGCTGCCGGATGCTGTCAAAGGCGCGCCTCGCCTCGACCATGCTCCCGCATTTGGCGTACATGTCGACGATGGTATTGGCGACGAAGATATTGGCCCCATCCCCGATGTGGCCGTGGATCCTCGCCCCGGCCTGCAAATCCCGCAGGCTGATGCACGCCTTGAGCGCCGCGAGCTGTGCCGCAACGCTGGGCGCCACCGAATCCTCCCGCATTCGATCGAACGCCCTGATCGCCTCCCTGGCCTCCTTGGCGCCCACCGCTCGCATTGTCCATAAGAACCCTAAAACCAATAACCATCAGAATTAACTATGAGATCATCTATGCATCCAGCACAGGAGCAGTCTGCGAGATATAGAATATCTGAGAAATCGAATCGATCAAAGATAGGAGATGCCCGAAGTCTTGAGGCGCTCCAGCACACATCCAAAAATTGCCAGAGTGAGATTCAAATTCCAGGGCTTTCCTCTTCTCTATGGTTTTGACAATAAAATTTGGAGGAGGAGGAAGTGGGATTGCTATAAAATCTTGAGGTTGTACTAGACCATTCATATAAAATAATACTTGGTTTGCCTACTTTAAAAGGCCTTCAAAAGAACACTTGGATAAAGAAAGACTTGACTTGACTTAGACTCCAGCGTGTCCAACCTTTAAGAACACAAGGCATCTTCTCTTCTGAAATGAAGAGTTTTTGTTCCCTTTGCAATATGTGCTCATGGACGAGGACGCTTCCAACCCTTGAATACACTTACTTAAGCAACGCTTCCAGCACAACGTCCACGCTTTCGATCACCCCCAGTAGAGCACCTCCAATTTCATGGGCTTCAGTTCAGAAGCCTCCTCCTTCAAGTCATCCATCCCATCCAATCTAGCCAATGTAGAATATTTATTAAAGAAAGCCATGGAGAGCAATCGCCCGAGCACCAGCTCCTCCTCCTTCTCCGTTCCAATTTCTCTAACTTTCATTGTCAAAGCCACAGAGGACTTCAAAGTCCTCGAAGCCGACTGCTTCCTTGCTGGTGGGTTAAGTCTCATCCACTTCCTATATGTCTCATGCAGCTCTTCATCGGGATCCTCTTGCCACTACACCATCTTGTACGGCCGTGACTTCCCTTCCGATGGTTACTTGGCCAAAGATTTCGATTTCATGGTTTACACCCCAATGATCACAAACCACATGAGTTTAGCATCCAGACCGAAGCATCAGTGCGACAACATTCTTAAGTTACTTCACTCCCCAGCTCTACATGCGACTCATCCGAATGAATCTGGAGGAAGTGTCTCACGAAGTCGCGGACGTTCTTGGCACAGAACTTTGCTACAGTTTCCAGGGTGCTCATTGTGCCAACAGACAATCATACAATCTGCTTGGCAATCGGCAATTCCACAACTGTTGTTTACAGTGTCAATGTTTTGGGAATGAAAGTGGAGTATGACTTGGAGGATCAAGGATTGGATTTGGAACGGGATGTGATGCCTTCTGGCGTTATGGTTAATATAAAATACAAAAGGTGGAATTTCTTACCTTCTATGGCATTTTGCTTGAATCCCCGGCGTTTCATCGCGGAGAAGAGATCCAGTGCGACCTCTCCCTGGCCGCGCTGCATATACCCTTTGATGATCGCGTTCCACGACACGACGCCGGATGCTGTCAAGGGCACGTCTCGGCTGGCCGTGGATCCTCGCCCCGGCCTGCAAATCCCGCAGGCTGATGCACGCCTTACGCTGGGCGTTACCGATTCCTCCCGAATTCGATCAAACGCTAATCTTTGAGTTTAGGACATTTGTGGAGGCCGCCACGGTAGCCTGGTGGAGGCGCTCACCAAGTACCTCCACCAGCACGGCAGCCTCCTCTTGCAAATTACCCACGAGTCCCATTTGGAGGTGCCGCCTCCAAAGGAAAACGCCCGAGCCAGGATGTCCCCAAGGTCGGGCCGGACTTTGTCCGGTGGGCTGCTGGAGGCGTGGGAAATCTAGTCGAGCTCTTCCCATGAAAACAACCAAGCAAGAAGATTTAATATGGGCGCCATCCAGATCCAGCTCCATCTACGCCACAGCCAAAGAAACTCGTTAGAAGCACGCGCACACACAAGCAATCCTCCCGAGCCCAACCGCCAGAGGCCCCCGAGAAAACCCTAGCCACTCTCACATTTATATACTACTATCTTTGAGACTAAGAATATTATATTGAACTTTGAATATGCTCTTTGAATGTTAATCTTTGAAGGAGTTTTGGAAAGGTTGGCGTTTTCCTCCTCTGTGAATCAATCAATCAATCCAATCCAGCGAGCAATCAAAGCACTATTAGCTTTAGTTTGGCATCTTCTATAGAAACTCCAAGGGCAATACAGATTTTAAAAACAGGACTAGTAAGATTGCAGCAGCATTGTGGGAAAAATTTCCACAGAACACCACCACCTTTTTGAAGGTGGTGGAGCTTCTCAGACAGAAGCTGTAAACTCGATGTTCGTACATGATCCCAGGAATGTGGTCTTACTTGCTCAATCCAATTCAGACTTGTGAAACTGTAAGAAAAGAAAGAGGTAGCTTGCTTCTTTGATTTTACGAGATTTATGGAGGCCGCCTGGTGGGAGTGCTCGCTGAGTACCTCCAGCAGGCGTGGCAGCCTCCCTGCAAATTACCCACGAGTCCCATTTGGAGGTGCCGCCTTCAAAGGAAAATGCCTGAGCCAGGATGTCGCCAGGTTGGGCTAATCTAGTCGAGCTCTTTGCCATCTTCTTCTTTTGCAGCAAGGAGGTGTTGGACCAGAATCACCGTAATCAAAGGCATAGATGGAGGAGCATAAGTTGTATAAATGTCTTGGTGTAATGGGCCAAGCATGCAAGTATTTTTTCCATATGCAAGTATTTGTTCCAATTCTCCTTTTTTAAGGGTATGGTTAGCTGGGCGGTGGCATGATAATGAATGGATCAGTGGGTAGGGACAGTAAACAGTAGGCAAAGCAATAATAACAGCATAGGTCAAATTAGATTGGATTAAATTGGATACAGAGAAGGGAGAAAACTTGAGTTCCAAGCTTCTTCTTTCACACAACAACATACTTGGGTTGGTTTTCTATTCTAGAAACCAAGCTTTCCTAGAAGAAGCTACTTAGAGGTTATGACTGGACGAGAACACATCCCCATAATTCTCTCTCCAGAGGATGTATCATGCATGGCAGTGGAGTAGTGGCAAGCATACCAGAAGTCTGGAGAGTTCTTCACCTTGAGTATATTTTCCAACCAAACTCACTTGATTAACCTGCATGGTGTAGATCAGAAGGTTGCAAACATACATCAATATAGAAGTGTCAATGACATCTTTGAGGAAAAGAACACAGTAGGAGGGGACTTCAAATATGATAAATCTATTGCTCTTGAAGTGATTCTCCAACAAATGCCCATGAACAACATTTAAATGGAACTTAGTGGAATAAGCTCATATCAAGTACAGCTCCTTGGACAAGTTGTTTTTCCCAAAAATAAGTTATATGCAATTCTTGGTTTCTATAAGTACATTGTGCTATACATTCCAAAGCTCGGAAAACATATTTTGTCCATTTCTAAATTGGTAGAGGATGGAGTACACAATTCTTTCATCGGTCAGCAGTAGATTTTATATACAATTATATATAGATTGCTCAAATCTCTATTTGCAAATACTATTTTAGTCATTAACAAAACAAAATTACAATTATAGCATTAGCATATGCGAGTTTTTGCAGGATAGAAAAGACATTCATGGTGTACCAAATCTTCCAAGATCAAGTAACACATTTTTTAATGACTATTTACAAATGAAATGAAAAAAGCCATTTCTTATAAAAGCTACTACTTGAAGTACTTCACTTTTACAGTTGGTTCAAATTGATATTTAAGGACCCAAGAATGACACAACAAATGGGAAGTGGATTCTAGGTACTTTTTATCTTCAGAACTAGACATTAGTTTGGATGTCCTCAATATCTCTCTAGTTAACATGGAAGTAGCATCACCACCTTTACTAGTCAGCCCTCCTCTTGAGAATCCACTGCCACCAATGGAAGATCCACTGGTAGTTCCCAAGGCAATAACATGACCTCAATGGCAAGTTGTGATGCAAGTGGAATATATTGCTCAACTGGAGAACAACTCAAGGATCTTAGTTTCTCTTAAACATGACATAAACTTAAATATCAAGAAATTAGGGGAGGTACAAAGCACAATTAGTAGCTAAAGGTTATAAACAACAAGTACAATGAGATATTCTCATCTATAGTCAAGATGATTTATATTCATTCTATCTTGGCAATTACTAATCACTTGGATTTAGACATAGAGCAAATGAACATTAAGAATGTGTCTCTCAATGGAGAGCTTGAACAACTTATTTATATGCAACAACCACCTAGTGTTGAGGTACACCATCTCCCCCTTAGAATGTGGTTTGTCTAGTTTCAAGAGTTTGTAGGATTGTAGAGTTAGAGTTGATAAGAAAGAATATATATACTTATATTGATAAGCTTGGAGTAGCTTATACTTCATGTCATGAGAGACTTGTAAGCCTAGGCAAAAAAAAAAAAAAAAGTTTACCTCAAAGTCAGTCATTTTATTCTGCAATAATTAAATCCTCAACAAAAACACATGTTACAATAAGAATAGATAAGACCAATATATACCATATTCTTGGTGAATATTTTAAATAGTATATAGAGCATTTTAGTTAGTGTTCTTTATTAGAACATGGTTGGTGCATTTATGTATATTGCCACAGCTGATATATTAACAGCAGTCGTTCAAGTTTGCCAATTCATGTAGAATCCAGGCAAGAGACATTAGTATGTAGTGGAATGTATATTCAATTATTTAGAAGGGACTTCTTCATTATTCACTGAATACTAGATCACCAAATCAGCAATAGTATTATATGGAATGGTGGATGTAGATTTATTCAGAGACCTAAACGAGGCCATCTATAACAGGGTATGTTAATAAGTATTTTAATGCTATTGTTTCTTAGTGTAGCCAGAAATAACCTATGAACAATCAAATCAAATCTCCGATTCTTCAATCTAATCTCCAGGATCAGATAGAGGGGGAGTGTTGGACCAAAATCACCGTAATCAAAGGCATAGATGGATGTATAAATGTCTTGGGGTTGTAATAAACCAAGTGTGCAAGTATTTTTTCCATATCAAGTATTCATTCCAGAGAGAGAACGCATCCGAGTAAGAAAGACCAAGTCCCACACTTCATAGCAAGCAAGCAAGTAAGAAGATCTAATCACTCACCATGGGTGCCATCCAGATCCAGCTCCATCTATGCCACAGCCAAGAGAAATTGTTAGAGAGGAGCGCACACAAACCAGCAATCCTCCCGAGCTCAACCGCCAGAGGCCCCTGAGAAAACCAGCGCCGCCAGGGTCTCGCAGTTATATACCAATGGCACACTGTTACTGCTTTTGACCAGCTGAGCAGGCGCCTCAGATTGACAGTTAACCCAGCACAGGGGCAGTATCACATGCCAATACAGAAGAGCTCGGGATCAGAGAATCAAATCCCTCGCAGCCAACAGTGACGGCAAGCTGGTATGTTGCACTGTTACCTCTGTGCATTTACAAAAATGTAGTTCTGCTAGTAATAAACTGAAGAATTTGTCTTCGAAAAAGTTTATTTCTCTGGAGCTATTCTATAGTGCTTTTCTCATTGGCTTCTACATATTGTCATTTGTTTGATACTTTTCACTTCTTAATTACAATAGAAAAGAAAGAAAAACACAGAGCTGCATACCTTAACCCATGGGTCTCATGCTAGATCTGAGACAAGTACGTAAGACAATTGTCTAAATAACCCAAAGAAATCAGCTTATCCTTTTGATTTCCGTTTGTCGCATTTTCAGCAAGTCCATTTGGTATGTTTTTGAAGGGTCTTTTTATTTCGTCGAGAGATGGAAACGAGCAGAGTGGACCGTAGTTTCAAAGTCCGTAGCGTCCTTGGCATTTCTTTCAGCTGAAGGTTTGTAGGTTGAAGAAACAGGCACGACATGAAGATAGCTAATAACTTTCCGGTGTTCCTTGGTCTTGGATTGGCCATGGGCGCCATGACATGCACGGTCGCAGCTTGTTTTCACTTTCGTAGTGGTCCGACAGTGGTCTTGACGGCCAGCCGAGACGAGCAAGAGTGGATCCCTGAAGTCGATGCTTAGACACTTACGCAAAAGGGAGAGCTGTTCTGCAGACAAACACTGCTGTCCTGCCGGCCCAGCTGCATGGAAGCTTAGCATCAAAGCTTGTTTCGCTTTAACCGTTGCTTAAAATAAAATGTGAGAAAGTGGAGTCACGAACCTCTTACTTCAGAATAAGATCGAGCTGAGCAGCATGGCCGTCGTTGGGACCATGAGATTGTCATCCAAAGACGACGTGATTGGCAGCGATTCCACAAGCGTTGCTGCTAGCGAGATGAATGTGACACGAGCTAGAGTATCGAGCGGATCCAAGGCATAAACGTGAAGTAATAGATCGACCTGAAACGATGGAAGAGTCACTCAAGGCCAAGCTTTTGTTTCGAAAAACACTTACACGAAAGAGAGCGCTGTTCCACAGACGAACATTGCTGTGCTTCCGGCCCAGCTTTTTTTCTCATTGTATGGAAGCTTTTAACGCCCGAACTTCCTGCCTATTATCTCAGCAATCCCCGTAGCGCGAGAGTCAGGCTAAGCAAGCTTTTGGATGGATTTACTTACCGTCACCGCCGCACATCACAGACAGAGCTATCATTCAACGGGGGAGTCACGCCAGAAACACACTGTGCTTACGAAGAGCACCGCTACATAGTATAAAGGACCTCGTAAAAGCTCTCTATAAAAACAGAAAAAGTAACGATGAGCAAGAATATAAAAACTTCTGGTGTTGTTTAAATGATACTCCACTCACTTGGCATCGCCATCTCTGCTCATCGACTTCACCACCCCTTCGTTTGTTCTCAAACCGAGGCCGAGGATTAGAAGACGCACAGCGTTGGCCAGTGGAACTAGCGAACAAATGTAGCGGGACGCCGACGAAGAGCTGTAAACAAACATGGAAAACCGGTTTGAGACTCAAGAACGGAAAAACTTTGTTCGCTCGAGCGAGTAGAGAAAGAAAAGGATTTTCTTTCGTTGATACCTGAAGAGGGGCCACGAAGGCATGAAGAGTGGACCCGTTGTCATATGGACGAGCTTGCGAGAAAGCTTCTGCGCTGAAAGAAAGAGACAATTAGAACAAACAAATAGATGAGAAGAGAACCACGTCTTGTTCTTTACCTGGTCTAGGACATTGAATCTAGTGAGTAGCTCGAAGACCTGGTAAGCTCCAGCCACCACCGCTCCCATCACCCCGAAATCCTGCTGGAATTCTTGGACAGCGCTCATGGCGGCGCTGCTCGTAGTGCCCCATTCTTTGCGGAAAGAAACTCTCACGATCTCTTTCAGAACCGAGAAGAACCCTAAACCCCACAAAATTGGGGAAATTTGGAGCTGTCTTCGGCTTCTTAGCGATTTGTCTTGCATTGATCGATCGATCCACCGATAGACTGAGAGTGTCCAGTACTTCTTCGGTCAACTATGACAACAGCCTCCGGCTCGCCGATTTCCGGCGGAACTTCCGTGTGGAGATCAAATATCTGACGGAGGGCGATCTATATGATTGGAATCGATGCCGCTCTTGCCAATGCTTTTCGGAAGATTTTGATCGCGGACTTTCTTTCTTTCTTTCTTTATTTCTGTGTGGAGCAGTGTCTGAAGGACTATTTTTTTCTTCTTAGTTGCAAAGAGAACACGTCGGTGATTCAAGACGAGCTCTGCGCTCATCGACTCGGTTTGGTTCCCGTCAAGGCCGAAGAGGACTTTTCCAGACGAAGATAGCGGCTGAGAAGAATACTATTGTTTTCTCCTTCGAAGTGAAATGCAAGCGACAGGGAGATCGCATGCAGGTTATTTTACTTCCGTATCTTCTCTCGCTGTGATTAATTTTTCGATTCCAGTAAAATCTGACCCTCCTTGTAGGAAGTTTTTTTGCTCGATCTGATGCGATAGCTTTTGCTGCTCCTCCAGTCACTGTTGAATCGACTGGAGCTCTTCCACCCGAGGTTCTCTTCACAGAAGCGGTGAAAATCCTCTCAGCGAAGTGCCAGAGAATCTATAATGAACTCTCGTGAGAGGAAGAGATTTTTAATTCACGAGCATCTCCCACTTTCTCTCGGCGAATATTCCCGTGACGAAATAGCGGCATAAAAGCGGCCAACGGGCGGCGCTTAGCAGGTTCGGCAGACGAGCCGTACGTTCTAGTAAATCTACCAGACCTAGAAAGCGGCTCCGTACGCTCTTGGTCCGGGACCGAGCCTGTCTCGAGAACGAAGAAGAGGGACTGTCGATGATGGTTTGTGTTCTTCGTGGGAGGAGAAGTTTGCCGTTGCGCGGCGAAAAGCCCTAGCGCCTGTCGATCGAGGGGGAAGGAGGTGCATTCTCAGCAGGCGACGAGTGGAGCGGCAATTGTGGTGTGATCGTAGCGGCCGGTCTCCTAGGGTTTGAATCCGCGGGACAGGGATCCGCCGGAGCGCTGTTGAATTGGCCGGCGGCTTTTCCACGGATTCCAGCTGCTGCAAGGTATGCCGTGATTTGGCGAGGGACACACCGGGGCATGCTGTGATCAGCTCGGATGTTTCCAGCCATGGCACCGGAGAGGCGATTGTTTGGCGGAGCTTCCCCTCGCAGTGGAAATGTGGTTTCGGAAAGGGAGATTTCCAGACAGCAGTGGCGAGATTTCTTCGTGGAGGATCCGATGGAAGAGGGATTGAGCGACATCCATATGGCATCGCGCAGAGCGGAGGAGGCAGGTTAGAACGTTTGGTGATATAGACTTTTCATGCATGACTCTTTCTTTCTTGTTTATCGCTGCGCATAGGCGATTCTTAGCTGCGCGATGGCTACACGTGAATTGTCCCGAATCTAATCTTCATTTTCACAGGGTACCAGCGACGAAGTCGTGGATTGCTCGCACGGCAAGCAGCTGTGGGATCTTTGCAAGGAAAAGTACGAGCCACTGTGGCTCAAAGGAGGGGGTCACTGCAACTTGGAGCTCTATCCAGAGTATATCAGGCACTTGCGCAAGTTTATCATGTCTCTTGAGAAATCCGGTGGCCCAAGGAACGCCAAAGGACCCGGTCTTACTAACGAGAAAGAAAAAAACGCTTGTATTTTTATGAAACAGTTCCTACAGATAGACCACCGCTCATTACAAGAGCCTTTACGCTGCTCGCTTCAAAGAAGTTTTATATCTTGTTATGAGAAGAGCCACGAAGCTCTTTACATCGAGACGAAGATAGAGCCGAGCCGCATGACCGTCATTGGGACCTCATCCAAAGACGACGTGATTGGCAAGGGTTCCAGAAGTGTTGATGGTAGCGAGATGAATGTGAAACAAGCTTTGAAGGATATAGCAGATCCTGGGGATATTCATTCATTCATTCATTCATTAGCTGTTTACAGGGTCTCGTGGTGCCCACCAAGAAGCATGAGACCGATGGATTCTAATAAGCTGTTTTGATGATCTCATGAGCTGTTTGTTTGCTGAACTCCTCCTAGATATAATCCCAGACGCATGAAGTAACAGTGAAACATTGAAAGTATCACTAAAGACCAAGCTTTTGGTGTTTCAAGAGCTATTCCAGAGAGCATTGTTGTGCTTCTGGCCAAGTTCTTATTCTCGTTCATACCACTCGCTCTTTGGTATGCATTGCCAAAACACGTGTGGACTAATAAATAGTTTTAGTATTTCGTCCTTGAGTGCATTCCGGATCTAACAAAGATCAAAGATATCACTTAAAACTAACGTGAGAACATTACCCAGACTATCTTAGAGCAATTTCACAATGCATAAGCTTGTGTGTGCCTTGTTGGTGCTTGTAATCAACACATTCCTACTCGTGGTAAGCTCACAATTCTTCTGCGACCAAAGAACTTGATTTGGCTTCTTGTAGAGTTGTGATTCATCATGTGGAGGCTTTCTGAAAACCTGTACACCCATCTCTTATAAGAAAAATGTGCTGAAAGCAAGTTGCCAAACGGTCAATGGCTCTAAGCACGAGTCAAGTTTGAGCACAGACGAGTGCCGTGGAGTGGTCAATTGTAGGCTCCAGCAGCCTGGATCAAACCAATCAGCTCCAACCTTCTCTTGTACAGGTAACAACTCCCTCAGCGTAAATATGGAGGAATATGCGGACAACAACGACGGAAACATGGTGTGCTGCAGGAAAAGCACTCAGTCTGGCACCTGCGGTGGATTTCTCAAAAGTTGCACTCCTACTTCTTTAGACCCGACCACCGGGATACTGCGGGCTTCCTGCAAGAAAGTGGACACTACATGGAATGACGATGCTTACCTGGATGTTGGGACGTGTACCTCGGATCCCAAAACCAGCTGCTATTTGCAGGAAGGCGAGCTGAAGTGCAACTATAGCAGCGGAGAGGCTGTGAAAATGACCACTCTGGCAACCAACAATGATGGAAATATGGGATGTTGCACTTTTGCACCAGTACCAGTTTAAGCAGAAGGAAGATAATAAAGACATTCAGTACAATAAAGGTCTTTGGAAAAGCTTGTTGATCTCTAGAGCTATTCTTGGCTTTTGCATAAAATTTGCAAATTTGCACGTCTCATGCTGCTATGAGACATGTATAGAAGATCACAACTGTTGTGATGGCAGACTAGAAGCACCTTGTCTTTCCATCACTTTGGACATACGCTCCGAGAGCAGGAACTTGAGAGCTTGTAAACGTTTGCATTTGGATTTTATGGCAAAGGACCTGGCCTACCAAGAGTCTTTAACGCCAAGTCTCAGTTTAGATAGAGCCAAGCGGATCAAAGACGTGATTGGCAGTGATTCCAAAGTGTTGCTGCTAGGGAGAGATAAGGCAATTCCTTCTATATAGGTGAAGTAATAGATCGACCTGGAACGCTGGACTTTCAAGTTATAACAGTGCTGTACCTCAGATTTACACATAGGGCAATAATTTCCTGCATATTCATAATTTAAAAATAAAATTGGATTGGTAGAAAAAAAGAGAATAATAATGCACAGCAAATAAAATACATTACAAACTAAAACAGTATTTCGTCCTTTAGTGTGCATTCCAGATCTAACAAAGATTAAAGACATCACTGGAAAGATGTGCTTCATTGCCATTCTAGAGTGTCTTTTCTACCCTAGTTCTCCCTTATATATGGTTCTATACCATAGAAAAACACTAGTTCTCACTGGGAAAAATGCGTCCCTTGCAAAAAAGAAATATGCTGAGGGTTGACAAGGAATGTTCTGAGACAGATTTCAAGACCAAGCTCCGAGGCAAAGATGAATAGAAAGCAAATTCACTAGAACACAGAAAGATGGAAAAGTCCCAAGACACCCAGACACAAGTAATAGCCTGTCAAAAAGGATAAGTTGTCCGGCCGAAAGGACTGAACAAGGCAGCCAACTGTCAGCTTGAACCAACCCCTACTCTGTACCTCCTTGAGTTATGAATGGACCAAGCGGCTTGGCCTTCTTTCAACGTAGGTAAGGCAGAGGACTAGCCAAAACAAGTATCAAAGACGTCAAGGAAACACAAAGAAACATATAAACAAGAGCCAAATGCGGCAGGCTGAAAGCAACAAGAATGCATAGCGATTTGATCAAAGAAATTCTATCTCATCACACTGAATGAATAACCCTGCTTAAAGGAAAGAAGCTTATCTCGTAAGAGAATCTAAATTGATGTTAAAGGTTAGATGAACAATGAAATAGCAATATGAATTGAAATCAGAAGGAACTAACATAGAGAAAATACCTCTTGAGATGATTACCATTGGTCTGATTCAGCAGTTTTGAACCTGTAAGTTCTGCAAGCTAGTAGGAGTTTGTCCCTGCGCTCCCAAGGACTTGATACGGGTCAATCCACGGAGGTTGAAACTTTGCTTTATGGTGTGTAGAAGCATTCAGGCGCCGAACGACATCAAGGAAGCTTTCACCTCGCTGCTTCACAAGCATGAGAGCAGTGCAGTATTGATGAATCTGAATACGAACGGCCTCAATATCTCAATCCCTCATCCAGCTGTATCGATTGATCTGTGCAATTGGTGTGAAGATCCTGTGATGTCCCAACGGTTCTAGTGGGATCCACTTCCTCAGATAGGAAGGTAAACAAAGTTGTACGGGAAGAGCTTCCAAACCATACACCAATCAAAATGGTGTAAAACCTGTAAGGAGCTTCTTTGCCACAGAGCATGTGGTAACAAGGTTGGCTAGGCACATGGATTATCCTGAACAACCTTCTGGAAAATTGACTTAAAGTGACTTGTTTGTGACCTCGGTCTGGCCATTCCCTTGAGCCCAGTAGGAACTTGACGTAAGATGAGAAATCCCAACCTTTGTTGTCAGCTCAGCAACAACAGCGCCTAAGAAGTGTGATCCTCGATCAGAAAGTAGCGTCCTCAGAACTCCAAAATGACAGCAAATATGCGTGTACAGAAAGTCAGCAGTCGTCTGCTGATAAAAAACCGGAGAAGAAACTGCTTCAGCGCATTTAGTAATGCTATCTGTAGCCATGAAAATGTAGGTGTGCCTGTTAGAGGCCAGAGAATAAAGTCCTGAACAGTCCAAACTCCACCGCATAAACGGTCCTTCTGGGTGAATCGGATGTAGCGGGTGTTTATCATGTAGACGAGCAGTCTGAAATTGTTGACATGGTTGGCAGTGTTGAACATACTGGGCACTGTCACTGTAGAGTGTGGGCCAAAAGTACCCCACGCATAGTATCTTCTTGCTGGTGTTCATTGCGGCTAAATGACCCCCACAGTCATGTGTTGCAACTAAGAGCTGTGAAGCTTCAACAACGGAGGAGTGTGCCATCTCCATGTCAGCAATACAGAGTGCCATTAACGAGAATGAACCTAGCAACCCGCTGACTGAGAGAACGGCATTCATGCCGAGACAAGTGTAAACAATCCTCACCTTGCAAGAGCTTGAGTAGATCTTGATACCATGGCCATTGAAGGTGAACATAGGAGATGGGACTTTAACGAAAGGTGAAAGCATGTGATGGTGCTCAAGATCCGTCACAGCATATATGGAATGGAAATGTACATATGTGTGACACGGTGAACCGGTGAAGACTCGTGTCTTTCCACGTGGACTAGCCACGTGGCACAGGGCCACTCTCAACACTCCCACTGGCACGGTGGCTGATGCTCATCCGTGGAGAGAGTCCCAGCCCTTCGCGATGGACTCGAAATCGATCTCGGGGTAGTGCTTTTGTGAAGATATCTGCAACCTGAGTGGTCGTGTCGCAGTGGATCAGCTCAATTGTGCCTCCTTCCACTTTCTCACGAACAAAATGATGATGGATCCCAAAGTCTTTGGTGCGTGAATGAAAGCGAGGATTGGCCGCTAACGCAATGCAGCTTTGATTGTCGCAGAAGAGGCGAGTGGGAGTCTTCACACTCACACCAAGGTTAGAAAGTAAGTCCTCTTTGCCATCCTCCACTTCTCTAAAAAAGAAAGTTACAGAACTTGAAGGTCCTGTGGCTAGTGTGGATCTCAGCTGCTTGCAATGTTGGGACTTCCGACCATTAATCCTGACGAAATGGTGATAGTAGGTTGTGCTATAATCCTTTATGGGCATCTAAAATGCAGTCAAATCCTAACAAGAAGTTGAATCATCTGTGTCATATTCACGCTCATCTTCTTCTTTGATCCCAATTAAGCCCTCTTGGAACTTCCAGAGCTCACCTTGGGTGACCTGGTGAGAAGGTACAACAGGATTTTTATCTTGTTCCTGATAATCAAAATGACAGACATAAAACAATAAGTGCATGTTTTGAACGAGCTCTAGTCATACCTTCTTTGTGAGCTTGACAATGTATGTGAACAAGGTTAGCTGCAAATCGCTAGCTTCCGCAGTGAGCACCATCTCACAAATCTCACCAATTGTTTTGCCCTGGACATCAATTACATCAGAACATATTACTGACATATAAATATTTTATTATCTCCTTCAATCCATCGTCCAGTAATGTCACCCATTGGAGGCAGTCCTCTCTACTGCACATCCCCTTATGAGAGGTAGGTGGCCTCTTTACCATGAAACATCGTCCCAGGAAGACACCAGCAACTATGCAAAGTCTCAATAACAGGCTCTCCAAAATTGCGACATCGCTTTTCCTCCAAGCTCTTGGGTGATAGAAGCCATCCCCACTTCCGAGTACTGCCCAGTGGCCAGCGCCTTTCCTTTGCACCACTGAGGAGAGCGCGAGGCATCCGCCACCCAGAAAACTCACGTCACCCTTCTCAAAGTCGATCACCATAACGTTTGTGGTCGCCATCACGTCCTCGGCACAAGTCTTGTATCTGTGGCGAGCTTGGCAAGTTGACAAGGAGAAAACAAACTCTGACCAGCTCGTTTGCTGGATCCAGATTCTTCCTGCTGCTCAATGGTTGGAAGCGGGGTGTTTGCGCTGAGCAGCAGGAAGAATCTGGATCGAGCAAACGAGCTGGTCCCCGCCTCCACGCCTCCCGGCTTAAGAACAGGTTTCCCCGTGACTGCATCCAAGGTGCTCGTAAACTGCATCTCACCGAGAACAAATTCCACCTCGAAACTGTTCCCACTCAACGATGTCCCTTGATCGCGGATGTAGACTGTGAGATGGTGTATAAACCCGTTTCTGACTAGGTTCTTTGAGTGGCCGAGCATCCCATTCACGGCACCCCCCAAATGCCCACGGTGAAAAATCTTGATCTCTTCGAACACTTCAAGAGGTTGGTCGCAACAGTGAATTGCATACTTCAAAGAGGTGCTTCTCACCGCCAGATACGACTGGATCGAGCTTCGCGCAATGGTCCTTTCAGAAGCCCTAATTCCATATAGAATCTTCGAATCACTTTATTTCAAAAGCCCTAGTTATAAATGGAATATGCCTAGAATCGTTTCCTTTTGATTCCTCGCGTGTTTTCCGGGGATCCAACGGCCGTCCTGCGCAACCCTCGCCAGCCCGGATTCTGCCACGTCACCCACGTCTGTGACTGTAGCAACAGGGTTAAGCGCAATGGAGCTGCTGCTGGGATCGCCTTGCTCGATGCCGGGATACTCCGTCTAGGTATGATATTTCGATCGAAGCGGCGATGGCGGTGGAGAGCGGCGATCCACGTTCTGCTCGGATTCGATGGCGCGTTGCCTCCGCCGCGGCAGTGGCGGCGGCGGCGCTGCTGCTCGGGATCTCGGGCCTGATGAAGGCGCTCCCCAATGCTTGCGTCATGACCTACATGTATCCCACCTATGTGCCCGTTCCATCGGGGCCTGGCTCGCCATCGGGGAAGTATGGATTGTTCCTCTATCACGAGGGGTGGAAGAAGATCGATTTTGAGCAGCATTTACGTCGCCTCGCCGGTGTTCCAGTTCTCTTCATCCCTGGCAACGGCGGCAGCTACAAACAGGTAATTTGATCTGTCTGATCGACTTCCTAGAATTTTTTTTCCTCCATTCTCCTCCATTTTTTTGGTTCGATGTGTCCTTTGTTTCAGTTGCTTGGTCGATGGTTCTTCCTAACACGGCTAAAAGTTTTTTTTTTTTTTCTGTAGGTGCGATCACTTGGAGCCGAGTCGGATAGAGCATACAATGCTGGGCCTCAGGACAAAACATACTACCAGCAATCATTTTTCACTCCCGACGAGGCCGGGATGAGCAACGATGAGAACTTGTGGGGGCGAGAGTCGTGGGACTCTCCGGACCATGTACGAGATCTCTTGGCAGACGTGGGGCATCAAGAGGAGTACGTGAACCGGCTGGACTGGTTTGCTGTTGATCTCGAGGGAGAGCATTCGGCTTTGGACGGAAGAATTCTCGAAGAGCATACGGAGTATGTTGTGCAGGCTATTCACAGGGTAACAAGGTGTCAGTTCTTCTTTGATGTTTCTGCGCTTCTAACTTGTACTTGTGTGGTTTTTTTTTTTCTCTGTAGATTTTGGATCAATACAGGGAGTCCTTAAGAGCCAGATCTGGAGGGAAGAGAGGAAATGAGGACGCATTACCGACCAGCGTTATTGTCGTTGGACATTCCATGGGGGGATTTGTCGCAAGAGCTGCCGTCGTCCATCCGGAGCTGAGGAAAGGAACAGTACAGACTGTTGTGACGATTTCTAGCCCGCACTTGTAAGTTTCTAGCGTCGTACTTGGTGTTTTCAGCTGACAGTAAATGTTTTCTTCAGGCTACCTCCCTTGGCACTTCAGCCATCGCTTGGTCATTTTTTCTCGAGAATAAACAAAGCATGGCGGATGGGTTATAGCAGTCCAAGGTCAAGGTCTGGAAGGCCGAGGCCTAGTAGCGAGGCCCCACTCTCAGATGTTATAGTGATATCTTTGCCGGGTGGGATTTACGATTACCAGGTAATCCAGAATTGAGTCAGTATAATAACTCTACCTTGTTATTCAGGTTCGTTCTAGAATGGCTTCACTTGATACTATTGTTCCAGCAACAAATTCACTTACCGTTGGGGCGCCTGAAATGCTGAATGCATGGCTTTCTACCGAGCACCAGACGATATTGTGGTGCAATCAACTCGTTGTTCAGGTGTGCGCGACCAAAAAACTTTCGGTTCTCACTCTAAAATACTTATAAACCTTTTGTAGCTTGCACACACACTCCTAAACGTTGTTGACAGGCAAACTGGTCAGGCGATATCAAGTCCTCGTACGAGACTGGCAGTTTTTATTGCAAGACTAAGAAGTGCCATTCCGCAAACCTTTGGCTGGCTCGCAACAGCTGATTTAATGGATGACAAGGAATCAGCATCTGGCAGAAACGGTATTCATCTATTGCCTCTTCAATGATCGATTATGATATTTGGCTGCAGATAAAAGCACAGCGGCGAAACCGAAGTACGCGGGTCGCTATGCATGCCCGAGAACGTTTCAGTGGGAAGGTGATAGGGACTTTCATGTTGACACTTCTTTAGTGACAGTTTTGGCCATGGACGGTAGAAGGCGTTGGCTGGATATTCAAAAGCAGGTGACGGGTATGTCTTAAGCTAGAACAACAGTCTAAAATGTTTTGCAGGCAGTACATGGCAGATCAAACTTTGTTCTAGTGACAAACTTTGCACCATGTCTGGGAATTCGAGTTCACTTATGGCATGGAAAAAGCAAGAAAGCCAATGACAACGCTGTCGAAGTTACGGCAAAGATGGTTCAATTGCCTTCAGCACCGGCACCCCGTCAGGTTGTACACGATTAAGACTTTTTTCTCTTAAATCTTTCATCTTGCAGGCTGAGCCTGGAGGACAATCCGAGCAGGCTTCTCCATCAGGAATCTTGAGACTAAGCGCAGACGATCTGGAGGGATTTCGCTACATAACTATTTCTGTGGCACCTCGTCCAGTATGTTCTTGTTATTTCCTATCTTGTTTTTTTATTTGCAATCTGCCTTCTAGACCGTGGTAGGACGGCCTCCACCAGCAGCATCCATGGCTGTAGGCCAGTTTATAGACCCGAGAGATGGGAGTGCGTTTTTGTCGGCTTGGTCAATCTTTTCTTCTACTTACAGATCTCAGGTAAGTTCGTAACTCTATTCAAAGGGATGAAATGACGGCTTCTTTATGCAGAGTCTACATCTAAACGAGAAGCATCCTTTGGTGATGAACTTTTCGGTCTCTGTCGGCTTTGGCGTTTTGCCACTTTTAATGGAAGTAAAAACGGCAAGCTGTGGCATTTCGGATAGACAACAGGCAGGCGATAGTGAAGTTGCAAGTAAGTTTTAACTAGTAAAGAACTCGAAGCTCCGTTCTAAAACAACTTACAGACCTTTGCAAGCTTCGCTGTTTTCCACCGCTGGCAATGCTTTGGGACCCTTATGCGGGTCTTCAAATACTTCCTAATCTGCGCGTGGAAACTATTGTATCCGACTCTTCTACTGTCTTACCGGGCCTCAAGTATGGTCCTCACGAAGCATCCATGGTTCTATTGGTAAGATAAATATTGCCTGAGCTTCCAGTTTATTTTTGCATTTTTTATTGCAGGCTGACCCGCATTGTGGTTATAACATTACATTTAAATTGGCGAAATCCATCACTGTTAACAGGTTTCTATTAACGCATGCGTCACAGGTACATGCAGTGCGAGCTCGTATCTGTTTTCTAATTCCGCTGTTTATTTACAGATTGGAGGATTCATGGTAGTGGTTTTGCTGTATGCGTTAAGTCGACAAGCTCGTGCATGGGAACTTGATACGTCCTTTCCCTCGCTTTATGCTTGCCTGGAACGAAATTTTATGTTTCCAGTGCCGTTTCTTCCGCTGTGTTTTGGCCCCTTATTTATTTATTTTTTCCGTACGACAATTGGAGGCGATATTCCACCTCCATATGTGCAAACATCGGTTGTGGCTGCTATTTGCTACGTAATTGCCAATGGGATTATGGCCATCCTTGCTGTAGGGAGCATGCTCACCTTTCATGCGACTGCATCTCTTCAAGTGTTCTTGCGGTCCAGGTAAGAAACTCTTGCAGTTTTCTCGCGTGCTAATAGTATATGTTTTGATTAAATCAGGTGGCAGTCGAAATGGAACAGTAGATGGCTACGGCGTCTGTTTGATCAAGTCTCTGTTTGCTTCAATCTCCAGGTTTGTTTTCTCTTTTCTAAACGTTGTCGCTGATGCTGTGAAAACCAGATGGTAAGGAAGGTCAGAGCAGTGCCAAGACTGACCACGGGGATAGTGGCAACTGTTCTTGTGTTTTTTGTTCATCCTGTCTTGGGACTCTCAGTGCTACTTCTAGCGCATACATGGTCGTGCCATGTTGCGCTTTGCAGGTACGTTCATTTGCGTGTGTTGTTTTCCTGATTAATCAAAGTGGAATGAATCCTCCGCAGCTATCGCGAGACGAGAGCGACTGCAGATAGGCCACAAGCAGACGCTAACTCCCGAAGAAACGGGCATCACAACGGCGCCAAAGATGATCTAGACGAGAGCAGCGTCGTCGACACAAAATCCGCGGCGCTTGTTCACCTCGAGTCCTTCAAATTCTTCCAGGGCTTGCTCCTCCTACACTTCACAGCCACAGCCATGCTCCTCCCCTCTTTCATCGCGTGGATACAGGTACTATACTTTTCTCCTTCTCTTTCGTAGTAATACTAACACTCACAAAACTCTTTCATCTCCAGAGACCCAAAGTCGATCGGACACTTCCATGGTTTCTGGACTCGCTACTGTGCTTCGGCGTCCTTCTCCACGGCCTCTACGCGAGCAGCGGCGGCGCAGACACCCTCTCCTCTTTCAGCCGCTTCGAAGCACTGAGAAGCTACGGATTGAGCGTGGTTTTTGCGGTGAGTGGATTGTATACTTACTGGGCAGGGCTGTGCTTGGCTCCCTATCGAGCGTTCTACGCTTTCGCGGCCATTGGTTTGATCACTTCAGTGATGAGATACACAGACAAGAACAAGGGAGATTGCTGCTCCTTGTACAAGAGTAAAAGGCGGCATTTTCACGGGCATTAAGTTTTAACCGCTGTACTTTTTCTGAGGTGAAAATAGTTTGCCTTGAGGATTTACCGGAATCTATGGCCGTCCGATGTAGATGGATTCTCCTAGAATCTATGCCATGTAAATGCCACGTGGCGCGAGGTTTAAAATTAACCCTTTACGTGGGCAAATAAAAGGACATACATTTCACTCGAAAGTATAGGGCTAGGGTTTTTTGGCGGGGGGCGCCGTCTCCATGGCGGGCAGCGAGTGGCGGGGAGATTTCGTGAGTAGTGGGAGGATTCTAGCGATAGCGTCGATGGTTCTAACTCCTGATTCGATCGATCGTGCAGAGATTTGGCGGTAGAGCTGATGCGGTCAAATTCGAGAGCAAAAGCAAGCAGGATTGCCTGCGGCGGCGCCAGGTGATCAGTGAATTGCTCAAGAACAAGGAGAAGGAGAAGGAGAAAGAGAAGGAGCGATTGAATGGTAAGGAGAGCGGCCGTGATCGGGATCGCGGTTTCTTTGGCCCCAGCAGCAGCTCAAAACCTATACAAAGACCGCTCAAGCCTGTCAGACCTATCCCAAAGGTACGTTCTTCCATTGGCAGTGGCAACAATTTTTCTGGATTTGCTTTTCAGGCGAAACAAGAGTGTGTGAAGAAACTCAAGGATGCTCGCGATTTTACCTTCCTGTTTAACGAGGGTGGCAGTCCGGCGGCGCAGAAGCCTACCTCCAACGGGAGCTCTGGTACTTAAAACTTTCCTTACCTTTCTACTGTGTTTTATAAGAGTGCTTAGTTCACAATGTCAGGAGTAAAGCAAGCGAGGAACGTAAAGCTAGCGAACCTCGCAAAGCCGTGCAGAAGCCTCAGGAGCGTAAGGTGACGGAGGTGAAGGCTGGAAAACTTGCGCAGGAGATTTTGAAGAGCAATTCCTTGAAGCCGCCTGTTAAACTGGCTGGATCTACAGCTCCAAGGCCTTCGAGTGCTCCGAGTGCTCCTCCAAGTACATCAAAACCTACAGTGAAAGCATCCAAGCCAAGCAGACCGCCGGTAAAGGTAGACATCTATGGCTTTCTAGTTTTTCCTCTTCAATCTTACGGATCCATTACGCATTTGCAGCCGAAAGTAAATCCTCAGGAGGCAAAGAAGCTAAAAGAAGGGCGAGACTACAGTTTTTTGTTTGACGATGGCGGCGATTCAAAGCCTGGGAACGAGAGGCCCAATGGTATGTTTCACAAGCAGTGAAGATATTGATGGTGGATTTTTCAGGAAGCAAGGACATGCCACCGAGATCTTCGGAAAAAAAGGTTGTCAGTTCGAGTACAAAAATGTCCTCGAAGCCTGTACAGCCATCAGTTAAACCTCCGTCAAAACCCGCAACGACGGTAACAAAGACCACCGCGAAACCAGTCGATAGACGGCCTTTACCTGACAAAAGAGTACCAGATAAAAGGCCACTGTCAGAGAAAAGACCAAATCAGCAACAAGGTGTGAAGCGCAAGCACGAAAGCGAGCCACCGGGGCCTTCGAAACAGGTACCACGAATCCTGGTTTTCTACTTCGCTAAAACCGTTTTGAAACAGAGTAAGCCTCTTGTAAGCCATTCCAAGCCACAGCCGAAGACCGCGATCACGAAAAATAAGTCCCTGATCGACCGCAGACATGCGTTTCGAGACCTTTCTAGCGACAGCGACGAGGATGAGGAGAGGGGCATCGTCAAATTGCCAAAACAATTCCGGTATGCGAAGCTAACTTTCGTGGATTCCTTGCCACAAGTGATGTCTCTTCTGTTTCTTTTCAGGCTTTCAAGGCGTTACCAGGACGATGGATATGATTCCTCGGATTCTTCCAACATGGAAGTCGGGTTTAGTGCGATCCAAGCGGAGGAAGCGCGAAGGTATGTATTCTTTGCTCTCGAGAAGAAGCGGTACTAAACTCCTCCTCCTTGTGTGAATCAGTGCTCGCATTGCTCGCCAGGAGGACGAAGAACAGCTCAAGTTAATCGAGGAGGAAGAACGGCAAGAAAGATTGCGTAAGAGAAGGAAAGCGTGAAACGAGCCATGTACATTTGATTCATTGAAGGTGGAAATATTCTTCGAATATGCTTCGACATAAAGGATATTCTATTTTAAATGTAAAGGATGTTTATCCTTAACCTGGTAGGTGCCACGTGTCTTAGAATATCACTTATGAGGTTTGACTTAATTTTAACGGATGGTTTTAGTAGCTATTATTCAGATTTTGCCACGTGTTTTTCTTTCTCGAGCTCGGCTATGTCGATCGCGAGGATTGTAGCCAAGTTCCAGTGCTCGAGGGGGGCGGCGACGGCGGCGCTAGCGTCGCCAGGAGTTCCAATCCCATCGCCAGGCTCCCCGCCGCCTCGCCCATCGGAGGCTCCGACTCCGAGCCCGCCAGTTCCAGAGATTCCGCGCGTTCCTCCGGGATACCCAGGCACCGATCCGCCCCAGGATGTTCCTCCCATTCCTCCCACGCCGGATCTCTATCCCCCAGGCCCGGAGATCCCAAATCCATCGCCGCCAAGGCCAGAGATGCCTGGGAACTTCCCGCCCCCGGCATACTGTTGAGTGCTAGATCCTAGCGACGAAGTTTCCTCTTGTAAAAATCACCGCCATTTCCAGAAATCCAAAGCTTGGCCTGTGAGTCTTAGAACTTCGAGTCGATGATCAGCCAAAGTGTTTCCATACGTACCAATTATGTACATTGAATGGATCAGTGTGTAGTTTTGTACAAGAGTTTAGAAGAAGGTCCAGCTGTAGTAAGCTTTCTCGACGATGCCACCGCCGCAGCGAATTGCCTGGTTGAGATTTTCCAGGCCCGGCGGTACTCCCCACAGCAATGGAATCGCTACTGTCATCTTGAGCTTCTCGTGGAGATCGCTGGACGTGAGCTTGGCAGCGATAACAACCTGTGACAAAACAAACAAAGATCATCGCAAGAAGTTCACGGCATTTTCGATCCATACCTCTCCCCCTTGTTCTAAAACCGTGTCTTCGACAACGTCGCTGAGCATCTCCACGGAGCGGCAAAAGCCAAAGACGCAGAACCGGCGGCCTAAATCCAATCCCTGCATCGAAAGTTCCGTTGGATCTATAATCTAGGAGACGATCACACGAGAAGCTTACGTTTGTAGCAGCGATATCAAAGACGGCACCGAGGCAGAGCTCCTGCTTGGGATCCATGTACTGCTCTTCGCGAAAGCGCCGTAGTCTTTGTTTTTTCTATCCAAAAAGAAAAAAAAAGAAAAAGTGAAGAGAACACTATCGAAAGGAAAAATCCACTATTCATACCCTCGAAGAACTCACGGGACGTGCAAATCTGGAGCCCCCAATTCGCACAAGCCCTTCGCTAGTGAAGAGAGTGATGGTGTCTCCTTGCATCCATTCGACAGCTGCCATAAACAATCGAACTGGTTTGAGTGCCTGTTGATCCGATAGAAGAGCATTACACACAAATTCCACGGGGGTAAAGCAAGGAAATCCAAAGAAGAAAAAACTCACCATCGGAGTTTTGCCACGAAGAATCCCATGGATACGGCCCATACGAATCTTCCGAGCTGAGATTATCGTCGCTGGAAGCACACGGGCGCGCCGATCTCCTGCCACTCACGCTGCCTAGCATGAGATTGGACGCGTCAAACCTGGCGAGAAGGGGCGATCTTCGTGTAGAGCTGTGATGAATCCACGGGCCTTGAAATCCAGCGCCTAGATTGAATGGCTGCGAGAGCGCTAGAACATCCATAGGGCTCCCCAATAGCCGCATTCTCTTTCCCTGGAATCAAAGACCATACCAAGGAGAAGCCCTAGGACTATCGCTTTGGAAATCTGACGGTTTGATTTCCTTATTACTATCTCGCCACGTGTTATAGAATTTTCCGTGCTTGCGCGTTCTTCGCACGTCCAATACTGCGAAAAATCCCCGCCGCCCAAGTGATTATACTCATACCAAAATGCTCGAAAGAGTTCAAGATATAAGGATTTTCACTACACTTTAAGTAAAGATCAATTGTAAAGGAGATTTTTATTGTTTTAATCTTTGGCAATCGACATAAATCGAAGCAATGATCTTCTCTTGATCTTTCTAATGAGAAGAGCTCTCAGCACTGTATTAGCAACAAACACTAGACCATGGTCATGGATTCCAAAAGCAGTAAAGGTTGTAAATTTTCAGTGGGCAAAAGTGTAATGTCCGTTAAGAACCCTAAAATTTCAAACTTGTTTCGCGCGCATTGGTTTCATGGCGACCTCAAAGGCACTCACTTATTCCTAGATTTTGTGGTGACACCCTGGAGCAAATGGGATCTTCCAGCCCCTTCTAGGACATATATAAGCCCAGGCCCCTTCTCAATTCTGTATCCCATTCCCAACCCTTCTCCACAGTAGCGCTGAACGCCCGAGCTTTTGAATCGAGTGAATCGCCCTCTCGCATTTGTCTTCTGTTTCTCTTTTGTGTTTTACAGATGACCTTCTTGGCTGCAAGGTGCCGCGTCGGGGATATCATTGGCATGCCTGGTGTATCCTGGTTAAGCACTACACCGATATTGGACAATATCACCAACAATGGCGTGGTGCTTAATCAGGATCCCGTTCGGAAAGTCGTTGTTTCTCACGGAAATAGAAGATCTAGATCTAACGGCAGCTGTAACACCTCTGAGAGCACCACGAATGGAGATGGCTCCCTTCTCCTTCTTTGTGCTAGTGGGTACACACTAACGAGCGCTCTACAGAGTCCTGTTCCTGCTCATTGCGATACTGGTCAGCTCTTCCATCAAATCGGGTAGGACTAGGAACATGAGAGCATCATGGACATCAGCCGTGGTCATGGACATGGAGTGCTTCACGAGCGATATGAGCGTGAATCTCTTGGGCGTTGAGGAGTCTTCTGGTGTGACCATAAGGGTGATCAATGATTTCCACAATCTCAAACTGATATTGCTTGAGGGATAATAGGCTAGAGGCTAGACCATCCCAAAGATAGCTTTCTAAATGCTCGTCTCCCTCCTTTCAAAACCTCTGTGTGTAGATGTCCATCATCAAGGCCTCAACTCCCTAGAGTTCTCGGCACGGGTGATGATCTCGAGCATGGAGATTGCTTCCTGCGGCACGAGGACAGTGAGAGGCTTGCCACTGGACGAGCATGCCCAACAACCTGCATCTCCAACATGTTGCGCTTGGTTGAAATGCCTTCGTGACGTGATGTTTTCTTTCTGGATGCGATAGAGACGAAAACGTAAAAAGAGTATCGCAAAGGTACCTGAGCAGAGCTGTCTGCTTCTACCATCTCTGAGTTTCGCCCCCTTTTCCTTGGACTGATCCGACTTCGCTTGGAGGCGGAGGATGGCGGCTTTATATGGTATGTCTTCTCTGCTGAATTGCTTAGAACGATCTTCCATCTCCAGTGCGTCCATCTTCGAGGACTTCACTCTCACGTCACTCTCCAACCTGCCTCTGGCCACCACTTTGTTCTTGAGCTCTTTCACAAGGTTGTCCTTCTCTGCCGTGATGCTTGGACAAGTTTTGAGCCTTCAATGGTAGGCACTGGGAAGGACTGCTAGTGACTTCTTTCCTTCTGCAATGTCAAGTCTGTGATTTTCTTCGCAATGCTCTACTGCCACCAAACTTTCTTTCTCGTGCTGATTTCTTTCTCAAGCCTTTCTTTGTCTATGAGCCTGCTCACCGACGTTCCTCGCAATTGATAGAGCTCTCGAAAAATCCGATCCGCTAAGACCTAAATTTCAAACTTGTTTCACAAGGCACTGACACAAAATGCACTTATTCTTACGGTTTTTTGGGTGACAAATGGGAGCTTCCAAGAGCATCCTCTTGAGAAATGCCCCTTCTCAAACCTGTACCCTATCCCATCCCTTCCCGGGCGGGGCTTTTGAATCGAATGGGCGCCCTCTCACATTTGTCTTCTGTGTTTTACAGATGAATCATCTGCGCTCCTTCTTGGCAGCAGGGTGCCGCTTCGCTCCCTCTTACAGCCCCCGCCAACGCATTGGCCTTAACAACATGTCCGCCATAACCAACGGGACAATGAACTTGGCAGAGTCATTTGAAATAAATAGCAAGGGTTTAGGGTTTACTTTTATTTTCCAACCATAAATAATGTATATCATTTAGCAAGATTCGTAAATGAAGCTATAACCAGATTACAAATGAAGTCAAACAAAATCAAACGAAGTCAAACAAATTCAAATAAAGTCAAACAAAAACAAATGAATTCAAATGAAATCAAACTAAAACAAACGAAGACAAATGAAGTCAAATGAAGACAAACACAAACACATGGCATGCAATTGACTAAAAAAATTGTTTAAGATTTCAGAATATTCATCTACATCTTTACACCATGGAATGGCCAGAAATGAAGCATGAATTTGGCATCCATGGGACATCAATGCTGACCCTGGCCACTTGGAGCCCAACCTAGGCCAAAATTTTCTTCAAAGCAGCAGGAAGTCCAAGCATGATAGCTGGCAGGGCAGCCACCAGTCGGAGGGCTGCAATGGTGGTAGGGCAGCGAGCAAGTTGTAGTCAACACTGTGTGGGCAACACCAGACACTAATAGTGGTGATCAGGGCATTGGATGTGTGCTAAGGCATGTAGCTAAGAGCAATGTGACATTGGACACTACTGTAGGATAATGGTGAGTGGGGCATTGCATAGTGTTTAGTGCAGTGGTATACCAGAGAGCTATTGAAGTTTGTGATAGCCTTCCTTTTATTTCTTTTTTTCTTGAGGCTTTTTATTTACATAATATCTAGATACCATTTGCAAAATGGGAAAAAGGCGACAGACAATTCCAAATATTGAAGAGCCATTAGAACTGCATGTGAAAGTTGTGGCAATTCAAGGCACCTCACCCATGGAGCTTGCTGAGTGCACATACATGAGTTTTTTACAGCAATAAATTGCTATTTAAATATTATCTGAAGCCAGTGTTGAAGCTGGTGTTTTGACATCATTGTGTAGCACAATAGCTTCTTCATCCACCGTAGCTTGTCAAGACTTTCCCATGCCATCTCAAGCTACCAACAAGGTTCCTACTACTCTAATTGTGGTTCCAAGTATTGTGCACTTTAGGCATTTACAGAGTCTAGAGACTCCCATTGCTCAGGTACTTCCAAAATTTTAGTTTTATTTCCATGGAGTCATACATTGTGTTATGTAGCATGTATCACCACTAGTTGCTTCTGTCCATATAGCAGCAAAATCTAACATGCATCAACACAAGACAAAATGTGAGAGAGCTTTAGCATACAATACCAATCAAAGTGGTTGTAAACGAAATGCTAATATGAACTTCCAAGGAATGTCTAGAGCTCCTACCAACACAATGGTCACCAAGTGGATTATGATTCCAAAAATGTTTGAAGCTAGCACTTTCGTCCATGATGGTGTTCTTAGTGTCTGCCTCTTTTCTTTGGCTTTAAACTCTATTTGTTTACCAGAAAATCTACTATAGACTCCCTCAATGGTGCATACAATCTTGATATTGTGCAAGGTTCTATCCAACATGTATTACCAACACTCAGTTTTGGAGTTCTAATGGAGTGTGCAAACAAGCTTGGCTTGTTTGTGAGGCAAGCTAAGAAGGGAAAGAGAGATATGGTTTAGGGAGTATATTACCAGATTACCACCTAGCAACAACTTTGTAGGACGAGGTTTTCAAGAGGACCTTATAAAGGGCATTAATTATCTATCTTTATGTATCTCTACCTTTAGGTTCACTTGAAACTCAACACTTAGCTAGGAAATATTAACCTTGAGTTATATTCTTACAATCCAAATAAGCATTGGATGCTAAATGATAAAACAACCTATGTCAAACTTTGTGTTAAGAGCATCTAAAATGGGAGAAAAAACATGGTGATGCCTTTTTTTTTTTCATGCTTTACTTTATATTGAACTATGTTTTGCAGGAGGAGCTCAATGCATGTCTAGTGACATTGTTTTAAATGATATATGCATTAGGGAGGGGCAACACGAACAAGAGCAAGAGAGCCAACTTGACAATACCAACACCTTGCAAGGTAGCTTTTTTGCAATTAGAAAATTACTTATTTTCATATAAAAAATTTGGTTTGTTGCCATGCTAATATTGACTTTACTGTCTATAATGCCAAAAGCTAAGCAAGTACTATAATGAATTGCTAAAAATGTAAAAAACCTAAAAGGCATTGATCATTCTCCACGGAACTCCCACAACTTATATATCCCAATAACAGATGCCTACTTTATTCCTTGTTCATGAATGGCCAAGAATGGCCATGAATGGGGGCATCAATTGGCCATCAGTGCCAACCCTGGCCACTTGGAGCCCAACCTAGGTCAAGATTTTCTTGAAGGCAATAAGAAGTTGGCAAGTGGCGATGGTGGAAGCACGATAGCTAGACAACATGGTGGGCAGGTTGTTGGATAGTGATGGTGGCAATAGGATAGTTAGTAGGGTAATATTGTGTGGTTATAGCTGAGATCAGAGTGACACTAGGCCCTGATAGCAGTGACTAGGGCATTGGATGTGTGTTGGGTCAACGCTGAAAAGCAAGCGTGATACTTGGGCAAGGCAAGGCTATGTAGTTGAGGGCAAGGCGACATTGGACACTACTATAGTATAGTGGTGAGCAGGGCATTGGATGCACATTGACCTTGTCTATTCTTGGTAGGAGTGAGAGTAGGATTAAATGTATGAGCTAGCAAGATGCTTTAAGGTGCATCTCTTCTTTTTCCTTGGTGGGGTTGATATGGCAGATAATGATGGGAGTTGTTGAAGGTAAATCCCCTTCCTTTTTTATTTGGAAGAGGTGTTTG